CAAGTCTGGATCCAATGTCGTCAAGTCTCAAGTCACAACTCTGTCTCTCTCTGTCGTAGCCTGAGAAGTCAGGTGGCGAGAGGGTGAGAAGAGAAGGTGGACTTAGAAGAGGAAGAAGAAGAACTCTCTCTCGCTCTCTCTGTGTCCAGTACTAACCTGTGAAGTTGGCGCCTTGATGCAGGTACCGCGAAGATGGAGCTGGAGCGATGGCGCCACAGGTAAGTAACGCTGGCCTCCGCCAGTCTCTCTCCACTCTACGACCTACCTCCTACCAGCGCCCAGCRCTGAARACTACAGCTCAGCTATGGCGCCCAGCGCCGAAGACTACAGCTAACTYTACCACTACGGCCTAGCGCTGGAGACCACTGCAGCGCTCCTCCTGAGTGCTGCGGCCGAATCCTGAAGACTACCTCTCCTACTGACTACTGACTGACWACCCGTGAAGTGCATGGGTCCTTCCTATGTACTACGGGTGTGCCTCTTGAGCCTGCCGACRGAAGGYAGGGGCTGCAGCTGCAGCTCCTGCTCGAGCATGTGAGGAACAGGCTATTTTGGGCCTGTTCCGCATTCCGTGCCTGAGTCTTAGGGGCAGGTCGAAATCATGAGGGCCTGAAAATGGCCCTCCGTTTCAGGCTGAACCTCTGGGTCTGCAAAGACCCAGAAATAGGCTGAAACGAGGTAGGGYCTGCAGGCCCTCGTTTTTCAGCATTCAGGCTGAAATGAACGGGGCCTGTAAGCCCTAAGTTTTAGGCTTTTAGGCTGAATGTCCGGGACGGGCCCTGTAGGCCCGTGTGGCTACGCAGTATGCCACACCGCATCCAGGCTGAAATGAACGGGGCCTGTAAGCCCTAAGTTTTAGGCTTTTAGGCTGAATGTCCGGGACGGGCCCTGTAGGCCCGTGTGGCTACCCAGTATGCCACACAGATCACATCCAGGAAACAATGAAACCATGATAGTCCAAACCCAATTACACACTGTTTATTCAACTCAGAGCCTTGAATTGTGAGGATAACTTCAGAACTACAGTGCGCCACTCAGAAATGAGCAGCGCTTCACTCCCCGACCCTGATTAGCAACTCGTAACACCCCTGAGCCCCTGAAACATCAAGCGCCACCCAGATACAGCCTCCTGAGGGAAGCGCCAACCTGAAACAGGCCTCTGAGGCCAAGCGCCACTCAGAGGATGAAGAAGAAGACTAGCGCCACAGTATCTGATGATGACGAAGTGTCGGAAGACTTCCAGGGTGGAAGTCTGCAGCAGCGCCACCAAACCCTGACAAGATGACCTCTGAGGAAGAAGCTGCAGCTATGGCTGCAGCGCCACCACCCTGGAACCCCACTCCGGAGGAGGGTCCAGCAGGGCACCAATCTCTCTCGCCTCCAGCAGACCTCGATAGCCCAGACCTCTGTCAGCCCCTGCCTGCTGGCAGAGTACAGCGCAGGTCCCAGCTGTGGCCGGCGCTCCGAAGGTCTGGCTATGCCTGTCTCCTTCCATGCTGAGCCGTTACCACTTCCGGTTCACACGTAGCGCAGCAGCGATGTACTCGGTACCAACTCCCAAAAGCCCTGAACCGATGTGCCCATACTACCTATAGATTGCACTAGCCTAGACTCGACCTAGACCGGACTGACTGACCGACCGGTACCGTTTCTGTTTCGGCCTCTCGGCCTCTACCGGACCCGGCTATAGGCTATAGGACCGTCTATCAGAATAGGCCCTTAGAGCCTGTCTGTCCTAGGGGTAGCCCGGGCCTGCTGTACGCAGTTAGGGTAGCTGTAGGGAAATCTGTTAGTACCGGGACTGCACCTTTCCCGAATTTGCAGATATGTCCCTCACGAATTTCCCTCACAGGTAGGTCTTTCGGTTAGCCCTCAGCCAAACAAAATTGCGAATCTGTCCTACCTATAGTACAGCCTCGACAGAGAGAGGCTACAGGCAACCAGAAAACAGCAAGTCATTGCACCTGTCTCCACATCACTCTCCTTGCTGGGCAACAAAGAAAGCACACCCAACAGGTTTTCACAATTCCATGGAGAGCATCATCTGATGGTCAAACACACAGAAGTAGAATATGAGCACTGGAAGCGAGCCTGTCTCCACATCATTCTCCTTGCTGGGCTACCAAGAAATCACACCCAAGTTGAGCCAGCAGGTTTCCACAATTCCATGCAGAGCATCATCTGACTAACGGATCGACCACTGCGCACAACCCATTGCAAACCATGGCTGGGGCCGACCACAAACCTAAGCAGCCTGGAGGATGTCTACAAGCGCATACAACAAACAAAGGGCTGTGCGAACCGAGTACAAGGAAAAGAGAGTTTCTGAGAGAAAAAGGTACTCGAGGCCCAGATCACTCCTCTTCGTCAGTCAATTACAAGTAATGACCACATGTTACAGCAACCAATGACAGGAAGAACCGACCACCAATGGGACTGAAATTTGAAAACTGATAGACTCCCTATACGAGTTTGCTAGGCTATCAAAGGTGCATCCCAATCCAGCAAGGCACAGCCGGCAGTTTCAGGTGAGCAGCCCACAAGCATACAAGACAAAACTGCTTGAAAGCCTTAAATGAAAATCACACATGGTTCAAAACTTCCGAGGGAAAGGGAGCGTTCTTTACCATCGCCCATTTACTGATGCTCGAACTTGAGTACACGTGTTGAGTCCATATCCTTGCAGCTCGACCTTCATGGGGCTCGACCCACCTTCACCAGGGGTCCCCTGCCATCCAAGAGGGATCACGGATATTGCTGATCTCACGATGACAGGATCACCTATTGAACCGAGTTTGATCTTCCCAGCATTTTGTGCGATCCATTTCATGTGATTGATATGGTCTATAACGACATCTGGGAACGATGCGCCCTCTGACACACAGTGGATGTACATACTGCCAGAAACAGATCAGAACCCAAGTCAACCAAAACCACAATTCACAAGCATAGAGCAAAACTTATTTTTTGTCTTTGTATCACATATGAAACACGCGTCCAAAAACGGAAAAAAAATCAACCACACACAAACAGCCAATATAACTTTGTTCCACTTGAAACAGAGAAGTAAATCCAACAAACAGAATCACATTGTATTGTAATGAACCCAGTCTGGCAGAGATACTCAGAAGTCGTCAAACATCAGTAGTCTCATTATCTACATCAAAGTCTCCAAATCGTGAAGTGAAATCTCAAACAGTACCTCATTACCATCACAAGACGAGAGTGGAGGGGGAATAGACAAAGGAGAAGATGAAAGATCACACAGTAATAATCCCTTCAGACCCCTGTTCTTCTCCGGGTTTCTTTCCTCTCCACGTCAACAATGATAACGACGCATGGAAGACAGGGTATGTCATTAGGCGTGGAGGTACATCTATGTGGTAGGAAGGTCCATCTTCACCTCCAATCACTTTGAGAACTTCCCAGGGTCCGTAGTAGACAGGTAGCAGTTTCTGAGACACATTTTGTTTTAAGGAAAACTATTTAGACTTAACCCAAACAAAGTCCCCTTCTTGCAACTGTGAAGGACGACGATGTTTATTAGCTTGTTCGATCATTTGCAGTTGGGATTTCTGTATGTTTTCCTTCACCTTCTTAATGTCTTCTTCGAACAAAATTGCGAATTAACGCTTACCTGGGGGTAGCCTTTGAATCTGGTCCCTGGTTAGTGCATCAATGGGACGCCTAGGCTTCCATCATGTGTGCAGTGCGTTAGGCGTTCTACCTGTGACAGTATATATACTGTTATTATAAGCACTAGTAATTTTAGGCAAGTTCTCATCCCAATCAATATGGTCAGGACGGACATACATTCGCAAAAGTTGTTGATAGAGATGATTCATTTGCTCAGTTTGACCATTCATTTCTGGATGTCGACCTGACGACATGGTCAACCTGGTCCCATAGACTTCCATCAACTTCTGCCATTGTAGACTAGTGAACCGAACATCTCCGTCGGATACGATGGTTTTGGGAAATCCATACTCAGAGACCCATCACATTTGAAACTTTTGAATGACTAGTTCGGTTCGAGCTTCAACAGGCAAAGGAATGAACATAGCGTACTTAGAGAATCTATTGACGATGACCATTACCTGACTGTTGTCGTTTCGACTCTTAGTGAGACTCATAAAGTCAATTGAAATAGACTCACCTGGCTCACTTGGAATTCGCAACGGTCTCAGTAGTCCCATCAGATTCTCATGTGAGGGTTTGTTCCTCTCACAGATGAGACAAGTCCGCACATACGTTAGTACATCTTCCTTCATTCCTTTCCATTCAAAACGTTCACATACATCGGCATACGCCTTCTTAAAACCAAAGTGACCTTCCGCATTATGGCATTCCCCAATGATTAAACTCTTGATTGATTCTAAGTGAGGAACACACAATCTTTCTTCGGTTTTATCCAGCAAGAAGAGTAAGCCATCAATCATTCGATATTCCGGAAACAACTCAAGATTCTTTCGTAGAGTCTCAATGATAGGACTCCAAATAGGATCATTCCCATAACCCTGACGGGTCTGTTCTTTCAGTTCATTTCCGATATCGAGATAGGAGACAACGGTTCCAAAGAAATTTGCACGCCTGGATAGAGCATCCGCAACCACGTTAGACTTACCTTTGATGGTTTTCACCTCAAAGCCAAATGTGTCAAGGAAAGTGGACCACCTTACCAACGTGTCGGAGAGCTTAGGCTGAGTCTTGATCCACTTTAAGGTAGAGTGATAAGAGTAGACAGTGAAATGTCTCCCTAACAAGTAGTGCTTCCAGGTATCTAGTGCATCAACTAAGGCATACAGTTCCCTTTCATAGGTGGAGTTTGCCACTTTCTCTGACGAAAGTCTTCTGGACATAAACTCAATAGGTCTATATCCCTTACCGTCGTCCTGCTGTAGCACAACCCCAATCCCATACTGACTTGCGTCAGTCGTAACGATGAGAGGAAGAGAAGGGTCAACAATCTTTAGAACAGGGTAGTGAGTCAAAGCATGTTTTAACTTTCTAAACGACGACTCACACTCTTTGTCCCACAACCAAGGCTTTTCCTTTTTCAGTAATCTTCTCATAGGAGCAGCTATCAAGAAGAAGTTTCTACCGAACTTCATATAGTAGCTAGCAAGTCGTAGGAAAGATCTTAATTTAGTTATAATCTTAGGTTGTGGCCAATATCTAATTGTCGTGATCTTCTTTTCTTCAGGCCTTATTCCTTCCTCGTTCACTATATGCCCCAAGTACAAGACTTCATGCTTAGCAAACTCAAACTTTTTCGGATTCAGTTTGAAGTTGTCGTCGCACAACTTCTGCAAAATCATTCGTAGGTGTTTCTCGTGATCTTCCGGTGTCTTACCGTACACTAAAATATCGTCGAGATAGACTACTACGAATATCTCGACTACGAATTGATCGAGCCATTGTCGGAACAACTCATTCATGGACCTTTGGAAGGTCGCAGGTGTGTTGGTCAAACCGAAAGGCATAACCACGAATTCGTAGTGACCATACCTAGTTCGAAATGTCGTCTTGTGTTGATCCTCAGGGGCCACCTCGATCTGGTGGTACCCGGACTTTAGATCAATCTTCCTAAAGTATCTGCACCCCTGCAACTGATCCAATAGATCCTCAATGTGCGGAAGAGGCTTACAAATTGCCTTCTCTGAGATATAGGACCGTGTCGATCCTGGATCTAACAGGGCACCTACTCGCGTGTGCGCTGTCAGCCCGAATACCCTCACAAGGGTATTTGGGCACATTTTTGTATCTCGCAGAAAGTGCGTTTTTGACGATATTCGAGAGAGTGTCCCATTTTTGTGTAACCATAGCCAACTCTGAGGGGTTGGGAATGGCGCACGCGTTTCATTTGATTAGAGAGTATGTGGGTATGCACTTCGAGGGCACGCATGGGTTTTAGGCGGACATTGGATATGTTTATGAAAGCGGTGTCCACACGTGGTTGCAAAGGAGTGTGAAGGAACTGCAGTAGCGCACGCAATGCGCGTTCGCATTCGGGATTGGCAGTTGATGATCGACACTAAGATTCAGTCATCGAATTCATTGGCTTACGTACTATAGGATTAGGACCAGTGAGGTGCAAAGTGCTTGACTTCCTAGGGCGACCATGATATCATTCAAAGGTAGCAGCCGCAGGCGACACTATGCAAGTCGGAGTTTTCCGACGCTTAGGTGGTAAAAGTGTGGTCTTTTAGGAATGGTAGCCTAGCAAGAAAGTGGGAGTTTCTGGGTATCAGCGCGGTTGTGCCACATGCACGACGGCGGCAAGTGAAATTGACCTCTTCATGCAATAAGCGTCGGTAGATAGGAGCCTTAGAGATGGCCGATGTGCCTAAGTACGACCTTTAGTACAGTCCGATAGGACCTAGGCCTGAAACAGACGTCTTTATAACCAAGTCTGCGCCTATTACATCCAAGCTCAGTCTTAGCGCTATAGGTTACGACTTTGGAGTGACACTACAGAGATTCAGGGATCGAGGCCAACTGCTGGCGACGATGGCGCTGCGGAGCGCAGGAGCAAAAGCCGAGGGGTTGAGGGTCTTGCAGGACTATCCCCCTTAACTTTTGTTGTCAGTCCCGTTTGCGGGCCCGACTGGCAGGACTGAAGGAAGTACCAGCGGCCCAGGGGGTCCCTTCTTCCCCCATCACTATTTTTCTCTCCATTAAATTTTATTTATAATTATTTTTATTTATTTCGGCCCATATTGGGACACGGTCCGGCACCGGTACCAGAATCGACCGTAGACCCAAGAGCTTTGCTCAGTGGGTCCACCCATGAACTATTGAAATATAGACTTGACTTCGAATTCCGATGATGGAACTTGATGAGTAAAACCATAAGACTTTTGCGCAGCCTAGGACCAGTCAGTTCCACGATGATATCTCAGGGCTGTCACTTTGGCCGTGGTCCTTCGGGACATCTGTTAAAATTGGAACGAAATAGAGAGGTTAGAGTAAGACTGCGAACCCGATGGTCCGGGTCGCTGCCTGCTGACTCGCTGAAAGACTATAGGCGACCGAATGCGCTATCGTGAAAGTGCGGGACGTGGGCGCGCTGACAGCAAACGAAAAGAAAGGAAGCCAGGGGATTAATGAAGGAGGAGAGGAGATAGGTGAAGAGGCTTACCGCAATTAGGCAGGCGCCGCTGTGTAAAGCGCCGCTCGTCTTCATCCCGGTTGGTCGCCATTACCGTGGCACCCGCCTTCTTGCTGTGGCGAATTCCAACTGCTGAGCCATGCCCGTCACGTTTGAGGAGTGAAGTTCGGAGTTGGAAACTTACTTGTCAGCGGGTGCATGCTGTGCTTTGAAGACGATCAATCGTTCGATCGTTAGAGAGAGAGAGAGAGAGAGAGAGAGAGAGAGAGAGAGAGAGAGAGAGAGAGACTTACCACGAATTGGCGCTGCAAGATGAACCGACAGTCGAGCTGCGCTGCCAAACTACGTACATAGTCAGAAAAGCAGTGTATCTTTCCACCTTCTAGCGAAAGACTCATCCCGACTTTTGCTCATCTAGTCGAAGGTAGTAGCGCGAGGAGGACATGGAGATGGCGAAGGTAGACGCCTGGGCGACCAAGATAATGACGAAGTAGGCGAAAACGGATGGGGACGTGGAGATAAGGGAAGTCGAAAGGGGTAGAATGAATATGGCGCGGACTTCGCGCCATTCAAGGAAGCTGATGGCAAAGGCTGGTGTGAATCGGGCACAGTAGAAGAAGTGCAAACCGCTCGTTTCTGAGTGAAAACGGGCAAACTAGTGTGTTAGGAGGGGGATTCGAAACCAGGCGATCACGATGGTGTGGTCTCATTGAAGTAAGGGAGAGTGTTACATGCTGCGCCTGCACACGGGCCCCATTTGAGGGGCCCGATGGTTGCTGAAGGGCCCCCAGGCTGCGTA